ATATAAATAATATGGTGAGAAAAAATAAAACATTTCATAGGGCCCAAAACTTGTAATTTTTGTTCAACTTTTAATAAATTGATGTGAAAATGTATAAGTTTCATGATTTTAATTAATAAGACATGCTTTTTAATTAATACAATTTAATTTAACTATTAAAAAGGAGTCGAGACAATTTAAAATGAAAAAAAAATGGAATCCAGTAAAATTAAAATGGAAAAAACGGAATTTTGAAAAAAATAAAATGGAATTTAGGAAAAAATTGTCTCGTCTCGTCTCGTGGGATAAGTGTCTCGTCACACCCCTAATATATATACATATTTTTTGGTGAGCTAGTCGTCTACTGGCTTGTCTACTGGTCAGTTAAAATTAAATTAAATTAAATTAAATTAAATTAAAGTCGATAGTGAAGATCATGATTTAGTCTTTGAAGTTCTCTGTTAAAATAAAAGTAAATAAAAAAATGAATGAATGAATGAAGGAAATTAAAGTTCATGATTTGGTCTTTTTTATAATTTATTGAGATCACTTTTGAAAACCCTAAAAGAAAAACATTTGAGATTACTGAGAGGAGAAAAAAATGAACTCTCTATTTGTTCTCCATTTTATCGAACTGCTATCTACGGCAAACAAATGATATATTAAAGAGATCTGTGATTTTTTTCCCCCTGCATTTGTAAAAGTGTCTTAATGTCTCTCTTTCTCTTGCAGGCACGCCAAGTTTCATTAAGACTCCTGAAGATCAGACAGGGATTTCAGGAGGGGTGGCATCCTTCGTGTGCCAGGCGGTCGGAGAGCCCAAACCACGAATCACCTGGATGAAGAAGGGCAAGAAAGTCAGCTCTCAGCGCTTTGAGGTGGGTTTGAAATAATAAGATGTGCTTTCTTTGTGCCTGCGCTCTAATCAGATGTGAAGTTGAGCATCATATGGGAGATCGACCTGCTTCCTGCCAGCTGTTCTTTTACCATAACATTAAATCAGATGTAACAAAGGTCCTACCATTTCTCCTCACCAGTGACTTCAAGGCATCCCATATTATACAGCAGCACTCTTTGATTAAGATCATGTGAGGGGTTTTCAGCTTTTATCATGTCCCGCTCTGAGCTGTAGAGTGCACCAGGCCGAGTGTCGAGTGTTTCTTTGAGTTCATACAGCACTGCTGACACCTGAACAGAGATTATGCTGAATTGACCAAGATATAAAGTGCAGTGAGCTTGAATTACAGATGTAGTCTGCGAGCACCACAGGGTTGATCCCAGGTAGAACTGTGGTCACTGAGATTTTTTAATTAGACAGCAAGGCCAAAAAATGCTGACGGCAATAACAGAAATGCAGCACTTCTTTTTGGACTGGAAAATTAAAGTTGCTGTTTGAGAGAGATTAAATTCTGCCAAACTTGGCCACTCAGTTAGTCTGTCCCCATTACTTCAGCCACTCTAAAAACTCACACACAATTACTCGTTTTCTCATTGGCTGAGAAAGTGTGGATGTGTATGTCAGTGCTGAGTAGTAACTGATTTGATGTAATCCACATTACGTAATCAGATTCCAAAAATTAGTATTTGTAATTAGATTATATTATGTTTTAAAATACTCATAATCAGATTATATATTATTCACACATTGGCAGTAAATTATTTAAAATGTATTAATTCTCCCTAATTCGTCTTTTTTATCTTTTACATATTCTTTTCTAAAAAAAAAAAGCCTATTACGTATATACATTTGGAACTGGGCTGTGAAGTGATTACATTTTTTTATCTAATTAATTACACAATGTGGTGATTCATTATTCTAATTAATCACTAATTAATCACACATCAAATTTGGCTGAGAAATTATCCCCCTGGAGGAAATGTCTCAGTATTTTGTTGTTGTTGTTGTTGTTCATACAATCATAGTATGGTAAACGATTAATTTTTTAAATCTAATTAATTACAGGATGTGGCAATTAATTATTCTAATTAATCACTAATTAATCACACATCAAATTTGGCTGAGAAATTATCCCCCTGGAGGAAATGTCTCAGTATTTTGTTGTTGTTGTTTTTGTTCATACAATCATAGTAACATCAATAGTAACTAAAACAGTTTACTGTAATGACATAATTTTAATTTTGGGGTGAACTATCCATGTAATAAAAAAGTATTATTATTATTATTATTATGTAAATATGAAATTATTCTTTAATGAAATATTACTCAAATAAGAAACTCAAATTAAAAAATTACACAGAAAATTGTGCGGCCACACAGCATTTGAGCAGTTTTTTAACACTTCATTACTATGTCTTTGGAAGACTCTTGTCTTTTAAATGCATTAAAAATAAAAATGCATCTAAACCTGCTTGACCTAATATATTTGCATGCTAAATGAAATATATTTTTTTCTTTCACTTTCTATTTTTATATCAGTATGGTTCAAGATTATCCTATTCAAATTAATGTGATAAACAAGTTAGGTCAGAAGTAATCCAAAAGTAATCCAAAAGTAGTCAGAATATATAACCTAATGCGTGTAATGCAATAGAATACACGCAGTTTTTTAACACTTCATTACTATGTCTTTGGAAGACTCTTGTCTTTTAAATGCATTAAAAATAAAACTGCATCTAAACCTGCTTGACCTAATATATTTGCATGCTAAATGGAATATATTTTTTTCTTTCACTTTCTATTTTTATACCGGTATGGTTCAAGATTATCCTATTCAAATTAATGTGATAAACAAGTTAGGTCAGAAGTAATCCAAAAGTAATCGAAAAGTAGTCAGAATGTATAACCTAATGCGTGTAATGCAATAGAATACGCTACTAACTACAACTTCTATCATGTAATTTGCTATTAGTAACTGACCACAGTTAATCTATACAGCACTGCATCAGTGTCAGTGACATTTGTCAGATATTACAGACATTTTATGGTTTTTGGAACAGATATAGAGTATATTAGCCAGTGCAAAAAAATTTTTAAGTAGATCAGCATGACAGATGACTGTCCAAGATTCGGTCACCCTAAAGTGACCACAGCAGACCTGAGCCACCTGTATTGCCAACTGTACCACTGCTGAATGTGCCAGCTGAGGCAAAGACTGCATCAGTGCCAGGACAGTGAGGGATGAGCTCTCTACTACTGGCCGGAGAGCAGGGTGACCTGTCAGACCTCCTCTGCTCACTCCTCCAAAAACCTCACATCTGACTGTCTGGGGCATAACAGAGGCCACAATAAACTCATCAGCATTAGCATCAGGTCCAGATGAGCCTCTCTGTGGCTGTATCAGGCCAGAGTAGAGAGGTGTGCTGATGCCCGGGGTTGAATCTGAGCAGTGGTGTTGGCTGGCTTTCAATACATGGACTGCATTATGAAGATGTCATCAGTTTGCAGTGCAGTTATCACAGGAATAATCCATACAGCATACTGATGTTAAGTGTCTTGGTCATGGACACAGTGGTCATAGTTAAAATATACCATATAGCAACATGATTTTAGCATTATTTTAGCATAGTTTTGAGTCTGTTTTATATGATAGGAGTGAATACAAAATAAAAAAAGATTAAGTAAATTAATTAAATTAATTAAAATTATAATTATCATATCTTTGTATCTTTGTATTTACAAAAATATTGAAGTCTGATTTACAAATTAATGATTCTTATGAATCGGTTCTTTGTAATGAATCATTCACAGAGTGCAAGTCATTATTTGCATATTATTTATGATCATCATATTTATAATTCATTCATTATCATATTATGATTATTATGATCATTTATATATACATTATTCATTTTAATTAATTATAAATTCATTTTAATTTATTATAAATAATATATAATTATTTTAATTATCATAAATATTTAATGTTTAATTCTATATAACTCTGTTCCAAAATCTAGTGAGCTGCCAAAATAAGCTAATTGATTATAAATAATATATAATTATTTTAATTATCATAAATATTTAATGTTTAATTCTATATAACTCTGTTCCAAAATCTAGTGAGCTGCCAAAATAAGCAGCATTCATAATCATCTTATAACTAATAATCTGATGAATCAGTGGGTTTTAAGACATAATATCTGGTAATTGCTATTTCTGTAGTAATAATAATAATAATTATTATTATTATTCATAATCACATAATCAGACTTCATATTTATAATTCATTCATTATCATATTATGATTATTATGATCATTTATATATACATTATTCATTTTAATTAACTATAAATTCATTTTAATTTATTATAAATAATATATAATTATTTTAATTATCATAAATATTTAATGTTTAATTCTATATAACTCTGTTCCAAAGTCTAGTGAGCTGCCAAAATAAGCAGCATTCATAATCATCTTATAATTAATAATCTGATGAATCAGTGGGTTTTAAGACATAATATTTGGTAATTGCTATTTCTGTAGTAATAATAATAATAATTATTATTATTATTATTCATAATCACATAATCAGACTTCAAAAAACTTTCCTGTTCCAAATAGTAGGCAGCATTAGAAAGCAAGATAAATTGATTAGAAATGGTCTTAAAATTGTGTTAAAATTGTGTTATTTTAAGTTGTATATAACATTGTATATGGAGTGTTATATAACTCCATTTAATTACAAAGTTTACTATTATACTATACCCAGTATTCATGTTGTTGCTGTGCTGTTGTATGCTTATTAGGGTATTATTTTTAACTTAGCAACATGCTAAAGCTAGACTCAGTTATGGAGAACTATTTGCTAGTTTTTTTCCGATGTAGAATATTCAAGATCAGTCCTAGTTGAGGTTTTATGACCGTTATGATGCCTTAGGAGACAGTAGTAGAGAGCAAGGCAACAAAAGCATAGAGTCTGGCACCACTGGTATGTGCAGCATACAAGTGGACTACACCATTTATTGAAACTAAGTTGCAAAAATGGCTCAGAAATTATAATTATGATGCTATGTTTGAGCACATTAACAGCTTGTTTACATGTCAGCACCTATTCGATATTCAGCAATTCTGCCCGCCTTGATGAGCAGCAGTGTGAAGGTTAGCTTAAGGTACAGATGATCATGAAAAACACATTGTGATTGTTTTTGATGTAAGAAATCTTAACTAAATATATAAAGGTGAAGAAAATTGATGCTACGGAACTGTGGCAAAAATACGGCCCCTTTAAAGCTATTCTGTTGTGAAAGCTTATAAGCTCAAACTGAAGTATTTCATTCCAGGGAGTGTTGCGCTTGTTTTCAACATCAGTGTAGACGGTGTGGGGCTCCAGCAGGGGAGCGCAGGTTGATCTCAATTTGGCAGTCAACCTAAAAACAGGGAGAAGTTGACGGCAGCCCCGGCATGAGGGCTTCCTGAGACGACCCTCCTCACACTGTCAACAGAGCTGATTGAGCGTGAACGAGAAGGGCTCTGACAGCACCGGCATCTCACGTACTTTAACTCTCTGTGTCTCACACATTCAATGAAGTGAATTTATACTGTACAGGAGCTGATCTCTTTAACATCACTGTCATATAAGAGTGAGTGAGATTGTTTCCAACTGGTTTTATCACTTTTTGGTACTCAAGACATTTTGGCTGGTAATTGCTATTTCTGCCATGTTTTTATTAACAAGTATTAGCACTGCAAAAAATGGCAGGTTTATCATCCTTTACCAACCCCCATGAAACACAAAATGAGATGTTAGCCAGAATGTTTTTGTCCACACAAGAAAAGTGGATGGTGATTTATACTGTCAAAAAAATCACCATAAAAGTAGTTCATACAACTTGTGCACTATATTATACAAGCATATTATACAATATACTATATATACTAGTATATAATACAAGCCATGCAGTAACTTGCGGTGAATTTATTTACTTATTTATTCATTTGTTTATTTTATTTATTTTATTCGTTTTGGGTAAACTATTCCTTTGACTGGTATATGACTGGCCTGTGTGTTTCAGGTAATAGAGTTTGATGACGGCTCAGGCTCCGTGCTGCGGATCCAGCCATTACGGACACATCGAGATGAGGCTATTTACGAGTGCACAGCTACCAACAGCGCTGGAGAAATTAACACTAGTGCTAAACTCACTGTATTGGAAGGTAAGAATACACTCTCTCTTTCTAACAGCATAGTATTGTTCTAGCACTTCATGATGATTTCCAACTGCAGTTATTTCTCCATTCATTGCATGCATTGTGTAGGAATGGCGCAGAAGTGAAATCAAAGAAACACTTTTGCATTTTTGGTTTCTCTCACATTCAGTTTCTTGTTAAGTGTTGTGCTTTGGCGCTCATATAATTATTATTCTGAGAACATGACAAACAGGAATTGAGCTGAAGTTAGATTCAGCAGGTGGTCTGACTAACTAGATCTCGGGTAGGGCGGGTCATGCAAAGAGCCTTTCATTTTAACTTTGAGTTTCCTCATATAATTACTATTAGCTTTGGCAAATATTTACTGGTTTAATGAAGTTACCCTGTTACCTATACTGTAATGCAGCAGGAAGATCTGATTAATGTCAACATAAAATGAAAAATGATGCTGTTTACTTTATTAATACACATCCCTGCTCTTATTGCACATGAGTCTTCAGCATATGTTATTGCAAGGGAGAAAAATTAATAACTTGCAACATCAAAAACAACATTCCTTTTCGGTTGATGTCACATAGGAGATGCTCTGGATGGGGGCCTTCACATCAAAGTTAAAAAGCCCCCTCAATTCACTGCAAACTCACATTCAGCTCTTATTCTTATAAGAAACACCCTCTTTATACCATTCGGTCTGTTTCCCACATAAATATGCCTCATTTCAGAAGTAAAATGGACATAATAATAGGACATAAATTGTGAGGGGATTTTTCAGTGACATTTTTTCCTGCAGGTAACATTTTTATGGCAGTAGGTGGCAACAAGTAACTGTTTTTATGAGTGAGTGAGTCAATGAAATCATTCATTCATCCAAATTGTTCAAAATATCGATTAATTCATGAATGAATCAAGTGACTGGATGCATCCGAATATGCATACTTCCCTACTATATAGTAGGCAAAGTATCTACTGTCATTAGAGTATGCAATTTCAGATGCAGCCACTGTCTTTTTGAGTGAGTCATTTGAATCATTCACTGAACTGATTCATTCAAAACAGCCATTCATTCAGAAATTAATCAAATGACTATTTATGAGTTAAGCACTGAATCATTTACTCAACCAATTCATTCAAAACACTGGTTTATTCAGGAATTAATCAAGTGATTGAATCATTCACTCAACTGATTCATTCAAAGCACTGATTTATTGAGGAATGAATAGAGTGACTCTCTTAATGAGTGAGTCATTGAATCATTCATTCAGCTGATTTGTTCGAAAATGCTGATTCGTTCAGGAATAAATCAAGCGATTTTCTTTTGCGTGAGTCATTGAATTATTTCCTCAGCTGATTTGTTCAACTGATTTGAGCGTGTGTTGCTCAGAGATGCACAGTGGTTAAATTTACTGTGGCTTTATCTGAAAATATTTCAGTGCAAAAATAGACTGCCATTACAGCTTTTTACAATCGCTTGGACACATTTTTAGTTAGGTCACTTTTTCAAACCTCTTTACACAGCGAGCACAACATCAGTCTGTGTGGGCTAAACTGTGGATCAATTTTCATTGCTTGGGCATTAAATTAATTCATTGATTATATCTGTCAGATTACATGAATTCTTTTCTCACTTCAACACAAAAACCACCAAAACTTTATGTACTATACAAGCCAATTTCCACATGTTTACATACTTTTTTGCAAAACTGTTAAACTTAAGTTTTAATCCTAGCACAGTAAAAAAATGAATAAGACAGAAATCTGCAACATTTCTACAGTAATATCATATAGAATATATTCTGAATGTAAAAAAAAATCAAATACTATCAAAGCAGTTGCATGTAGCTGAACATCTTCACAAGTGTTAGTCTTTCACTTTCATTACCATCTATACAAAAGGGTAAAACTTAGGAATAATTGTTTACTGTAATGTAAACATGGACCATGTAACATATACAGCAGTGAATTATAAATTGCAATGATATAAGAGAGTATCATTCTTGTTTTGTAAAGAAATTTAACAAAAGAAAACATTGTATAATGCTACCTTTTGTTAGTGCTGTTGTGTTATGAGTGAGAAAGTGTGTTTGTTTTGTGAAAACCTTTGCTAGTCTTATGAAAGAATGCCTTGATTTGAGACATTAATGAAGTGTTTTGGTAGTTTTAGTGCATTTTGAATGTGAAATGAACTGCTGTGTCAAGTTGAAAGATGGTTAGGAGAACTGTGTGAAGAGTTTTGAAAAAGTGACTTTAGTATTGAAAAATGTGTCCTAGAGATTGTAAAAAACTGTAATGTGTCTAATATCTAAGTACTCAGCATTAACTTTCTATTTATTGAACTGTTGCATAAAAACACTGTTGGTTTAAATATTACTTGTTGTGATTACCTGTGATCCTGTGCCTATAGCCGAATCTGTGCGGATATTAAGAACCAACAGTCTTGAGTATGCGATATTGCTAAAATATATTTTATCAAAAAACTCCTCAAAATGATTCCTGCTTTCCTCTCACTGGTGTTTTCTGTTCGATTGCTGGGATCTTGGTACATGCTGACTGAAGGAAACTGTAAGAAGACACACACACACACACACACACACACACACACAAACACACACTGTACCACAGAATTGGAACATGTGCAGCGTTCTGATAGCTGCCTCTGTTTTCGGTAAGCCTTTCGGTAAGAGTTGTGTGCGTATGTGCCTTTGTGTTTCTAGATTCGAGTTCATTTCAGGCCACATTTGAGCAGATTACCTGTGCCTGCAGCTCTGATAGAGTGATCTTTCCATGCCTGGCCCTGTGACCCTGCGGTAGATTACAGCACACACAGATAGAGGTGATATGTGTCATTATGTGAGCATGCTGTACACTGCAGCTGGATTCGTGTTCAAACATGAGGAATATGGAGGTGCTGATACTACATGGTGATAAATCTCAGTCCAAACCCTGGTCTGAGACAAAGAGCCGATGTGGCTGCTTGCTTTAGTGCACAGTGACAGCTCACTGAAATTCAACATCCCCTTATAAAGGCGGTTCTAGTCATAGCACGGCACCATGGGGAACAACTCAGGGTGTCTATTGTAATATATCTGCGCGGTAATCTGGGGAATTTAATAATTCAGTTAGAGGAAGGAAAGTTGTGGGTTTATACGATGCCAAGTCTGTTGAAAGTGGGCCACGCTCTCTCATGCTTTCGGTCCAGTGTGCCGTTAAATGTTGAGAGCCACGGATCAGCAGGTGGGCTGAACCTGTGCAGGAATCAGGTTTGTAGGTTAGGTGTTACGTCTGTGATCTCATTATTTTGGGAGCATCATTTCTCACCTGTCCTTTTGTGTACATCAATGTTCTCATCCACAGACTAGCAGATTTTCTTAGCTGGTTGTTACCGAAGTGTTTTTTCTCAAATTTGAGCAGTGTGTATTGACAGTTGCATGCTGGAACACATGGTTCTAATCAAGCGTGAAGATAAAGCACAACACGACAATAAGAATAAATCACTAATTATGTTGCTTCTGTTGAGGGTTTATTCATTTATGTTTTATTGCATAATCAAGTCTTCTCTTCTTTGAGCCCGTTCTCCTTCTCTTCTATTTTCATCTTGTTTCTTTTCTGAGCATGTTCTGTTATTAAATCTATTTTTGTTTTTACCTTGTCTCATCTCTTCTCTGCTCATTTGTTCTCTTCTGTTCTCATTCTGTTTCTATTCTCTTCTCTGTTTGTGAATCATCTCATCTTTATTCATTTGTTGTTATCCTTCACATCTTTCCTCATTTTGTCTCGTTTCACTTATCTGACTGTACGGCTTGAGTACACATGGTGACTCAATATAATTTTGCAGTTCTTTCTTTGAGTTTTACAGTCCCGTTCTTACTGCTATAACAAATTATTTCACCTGAATGCCAAAGAGAGTCTCCCCCAAAGGGATTTCACTGCAGTGATCAGCATGCTAAATCTGAGCTCAAGAAGAGCAAGGCCTTTTCAAGATCTCCTGAAAATGCACTGCATGCTCCACCATGGAAAAGAAAAACTCCTCTTGGTATCTTTTCCCAAAATGACAGTAAGTGTCAACTAGAGCGCTGCAACTTATAAGTGACATAAATGTAAAACTTGTACACAGATGTCTCCCCTGACAGAAAGCCAATATATAGCATCACTTTCCCTGCATGCAAATAGATGAGGTGATTCAGAAAGGTAATTTTATCCCATAGACATTTGCAAATGTATTTCTCGCACTAAAGTCATTCCTTATCGGCAAACATGCTCCGCAGACAGACTCCATCTGTTTACTTCTCCCCGCCGTTCGCCTGCTTACGTCTTGAAGCTGTTAGAAAGGCCTTTCCAAAGATCAGCTAATGCGTATAACAGGGCAGTGGGCAGAAATTACAACATGCCATTTCCATTTCGGCGTTTCACACACACGGAGTTGCTGATCCATGACATAGGTTTAGTTTCCAGTGGTTGGCAGTGGCCCAGTCCCCCACTGAGCTGAGTTAGACTTTAGCTAAATATCAATTACTCAGCTCTCCATCAGTGGTGTACTGCAGCAGGGTAAACACACACCTCCCTCCTCAGCATCACACTGGGCTACCTGCCACATCCACCTGCAGGAGACATTTAACACTACGTGCAGCTAAAATCACCGTCAGAAGACGGTGTGTGTTTGTGTGTGTGTGTGTGTGTGTGTGTGTGTGTGTGTGTGAGCAAGCGTATGTGATGGTGGAATGGTAAAAGCTGCCTGTTTGCACAAGCTGTGCACAATAGATTATCTATCACAATAGATTTCTTTCTTTCTACCCATCTATCACTGAAATGTTTAACATATGAAGTAGGGCTGGGCAAAAAATCGAATGCGATTTTAATGCGAATCTCGTCAGTAAAGCCACTTCTGGTGGTTAGTAGTAAATCTCCAGCACGTGCTTTCTGATGGAGCGGCATTTACTACACAGAGCTGTAGATCACTGACAAGCTACACAAAATCAAATGTTTATATGTGCCACTATATAACACTGAGT